TGAATCAATAGCAACCAGCAGGCCAAAAAGGACAATAACAAAACCTATTCGTCTTATAGAGACAGTTGCTTGCGCCGCCTCAATTGTAGCTGATGATGTTCCTACACTTATAAAGACGCAGTCCAAAGTTCAGAAGAAGATAAGTGGAGGATTGCCATGAATGATGAAATACAGTCAGTTCATCATAATCATACATGGAGATTGGCCAATCTCCCGAAGGGAAAGAAAGCAATTGGGTGCAAATGGGTATTTGCAAAGAAGGAAGGATTTCCTAACCAAGTAGATGTTCGCTACAAAGCAAGATTGGTGGCCAAAGGATATGCTCAAAAGGAGGGAATTGATTACAATGAAGTGTTTTCTCCAGTTGTAAAACATTCCTCCATTAGAATTATGTTGGCTTTGGTAGCACAATTGGATTTGGAACTAGTTCAGATGGATGTAAAAACTGCGTTTTTACATGGAAACTTGGAGGAGGAAATCTACATGACTCAGCCAGAAGGATTCAAAGTTGCTGGAAAAGAAAATATGGTGTGCAAACTTGAAAAATCATTGTACGGATTAAAACAATCTTCTAGACAATGGGACAAGCGATTTGACGAGTTTATGTTGCGGCAAGGGTACAAGAGAAGCAAATACAATCATTGTGTGTATTTGCGCAAGCTTAAAGATGGTTCATTTGTATATCTTCTCCTATATGTTGATGATATGTTGATAGCTTCCGAGAATTCAGAAGAAATTGATAAGTTGAAGATTCAACTAAAGAAGGAGTTTGAGATGAAGGATCTAGGTGAGTCAAAGAAAATTCTTGGCATGGAGATAATAAGAGATAGACGTTCAAAGAAACTCTGTTTATCTCAGAAAGAATATTTGAAGAGAGTACTGCAGTGTTTTGGCATAGATGAGAAGACTAAGCCGGTTATTACTCCACTTGCTCCCCATTTTAAGCTAAGTGCTACTATGTCGCCAAAAGATGAAGCTGAACAAGAGTATATGTCAAGGGTACCATATGCAAATGTTGTTGGTAGCTTGATGTATGCAATGGTCTGTACGAGACCTGACATTTCACAAGTTGTTGGAGTTATTAGCAGATATATGCATAATCCAGGAAAGGAGCATTGGCAAGCTGTGAAGTGGATTCTACGGTATATTCATAATACTGTAGATGTCGGGTTAGTTTTTGAGCAGGAAGACAATCAGTCTGTAGTTGGATATTGTGACTCAGATTTTGCGGGTGATCTGGACAAACGAAGATCAACTACTGGTTATGTGTTTACTTTTGCAAAGGCACCAGTTAGTTGGAAGTCTACTTTGCAGTCAACAGTTGCTTTGTCTACAACAGAGGCGGAGTACATGGCTATTACAGGGCTGTGAAAGAGGCAATTTGGCTTCAGGGGTTGCTAAAAGAGCTTGGTGTTGAACAAAAAAGTATCACAATTTTTTGTGATAGTCAAAGTGTTATTCAATTAGCGAAGAACCAAGTTTATCATGCAAGGACGAAGCACATTGAAATTCGGTATCATTTCGTACGAGAAATCATAGAAGAAGGTGAAGTCACGGTGAAGAAAATTCATACTACAGAGAATCCTGCTGATATGCTGACAAAAGTGGTGACTGCGAGTTTCAACATTGTTTGGATTTGATCAACATTGTTGAATACTGAAGATTGAAGATGAAGACACAACCAAAATTTGTTACCAAGAAAAAATTGAAGATGTGAAATTTTGCCAAGATGGAGATTTGTTGAAATGGCAAACTCCCACATCGATGGGAGACTTAATTTGGGGAGAATTTCTCCCTATAAAAGAAGGCCTAATGTTTAGGATTTAAAAACACATCTCATTTGCCTTCTCATCTTCTTAAGTCATTTGTATCTTCTCTCTTTAATATTATTTCACTTGTATTTTTGGAATGAAATAAAATATTGGTTGTGTCCGAGGAAGTAGGCAAAATTGGCCGAACCTCGTAAGTTCTGGTGTTCATTTTATTGTTGCTTTATTGTCTTATTTATTATTTGGTGGCTGTCATAATTTTTGGTATATTAGTTGTGACTCATTCACACTATATACATTTGGCTTCCGCAACAGTTTGATGTTTCTATTTTGAGGAAGTTTGTAAATGTAAAAGGGCAGGTGCAATAGTATATTTGGGAGAAGTGGACTGCTTTTTTTTTCCTACTTATTTGATAGCTTGCACATTACTTATCAACAATCTCCTCATCTAGATATCTTCATTTCTAGTAGAAAACATAGAGAACTTCTAGTACTTTTTATTTTATTTTGGATAATATCGGTCCTATATATATGAGCTTAAGTGGAGCGGCTTGATTAGTGAGAATTCATATAGCATGTCCTCAATTTGCTTGCATAGCAGCAAGATTCTTTGTTTTGCATCGGGATATCTATATGATGAATATTCATTGTGCTTCTCTCAGACGGTTGGTCATTCACCTCAGATGTTGATCAAAGTCCCTTATTTGCTGGCCACCATAATGTCTTATCCATGACATCTACTGGCATAATTAGCTGGTGTCTACTATAGTGCTGTATCATCACGGGAAACGCCTGACTTTTTTAGCCATTTCTCTGCAGATGTGTATTCTTATATTTGTAGGAACAAATGGTGAGACCTACTTTAATACAGCAGCTTTGGTCTCTTGTGTGCAAAACTTCCCCAAAAGCCGTGGTCCTGTGGTTGGGATTCTTAAAGGATTTGCTGGCTTAGGTGGTGCTATTTTGACTCAAATATATGCAGTAATCCATTCCCCAGATCATGCTTCACTTATATTTATGATTGCCGTTGGACCAGCAATGGTAATTATCGCTCTCATGTTTATAATCAGGCCTGTTGGAGGCCACAGACAAATCAGGCCTTCCGATGGATTAAGTTTTTCATTTATTTACAGCATATGTCTCCTTTTGGCTTCTTACTTAATGGGAGTTATGCTTGTTGAAGACCTTATTGATGTTAGCCACAATGTTGTCATAATCTTCACAGCTATTCTATTTATCCTCTTGATAATCCCTATTGTGATTCCCATCTCCTTGAGTTTCTCTCAAGAGCGAAGAGTACCAGCAGAAGAGGCACTAGTACTATCCGAGTCACAGAAACAAGATCCTGAAAATTCTGAACAGGACGATGGTCATGAAATTATATTTAGTGAGGTTGAAGAAGAGAAGCCAAAGGAAGTAGACTTGCTTCCGGCTTTAGAAAGGCAAAAAAGAATTGCCCAACTACAAGTGAAACTAGCACAAGCAGCTGCTGAAGGAGCAGTGAGGATCAAAAGAAGAAGGGGTCCCCATAGGGGGGAGGACTTTACATTACTGCAGGCTTTAAAAAAGGCAGATTTTTGGCTTATGTTTTTCTCACTGCTTTTAGGTTCTGGTTCTGGTTTAACTGTCATTGATAACTTGGGACAGATGAGCCAATCTTTAGGATCTAATAACACACATGTATTTGTTTCCTTGATCAGCATATGGAACTTCCTTGGCCGTATTGGGGGTGGATACTTTTCTGAAATAATTGTCAGGTACATGAAATTTACTGCTCATACATTGATGGTTTCACTTAAATTCTAAGAAATTTCTAACACAACATTGTCTTATTGACAAACAGGGATAATGCATATCCAAGACATGCAGCTATGGCTGTTGCCCAAGTTGTAATGGCCATTGGCCATTTCTTCTTTGCTATGGGTTGGCCTGGGGCAATGTACATTGGTACTCTTTTGGTTGGACTTGGTTATGGGGCTCATTGGGCGATTGTACCAGCTGCTGCTTCAGAATTGTTTGGCTTAAAAAATTTTGGGGCATTGTACAATTTCCTCACTCTTGCCAATCCAGCTGGTTCATTAGTATTCTCAGGTCTTATTGCCAGTAGTATATATGACTGGGAAGCTGAAAAGCAAGCTCAACAGCACAATGATGGACAGTTGAATTTGGCTTCGGTTTTGACAAGTTTTCTTAACATGGATGAACCTCTCAAGTGTGAAGGCGCCATTTGCTTCTTCTTGACTTCTTTGATAATGTCAGGACTTTGCATTATTGCAGCTGTTCTAAGCATGATTCTGGTGTACCGCACGAAGACTGTGTATGCTCAAATGTATGGAAAGTCTCGTACATAATTTATCCTCAAAAGTACAAAAGGGATGGAAATCTAAGCATCCTGAAGAGAGACACCCTCGCTATTTTCATGGCATGACACTGCATAACCATAAATAGAGCTCCTCTGGCTGAGAGCAAGCGACAAAGAAAGCACAATAGCCTGGTTTTGCTGTTGGTAGTTGTCCATGGTTGGGTGAAATATACATATTTGTGTTGCAAGTGATTTTTGTATATCTGCATTTTCTCAAACTTGAAATTGTTGAAGTTTGGATGTCAATATTAAGTCACTGTACTGTTTCTTTGTTAATATTAAGTCCTTCTGCAGCCAGAGATTGTGGTCAAGTGGACATCGGTTGGCCGCTCAAGTAATTTTTGTATAAGTTTTTGATGGCAGCAACTACAGGAATGACATCTATCTAAATTCGATAACCAAGAAACGCAAGTAGATTAATTTGCATAAAATTATAATGAATTAAAACCATAGGTCAAAGCCGAACTCCATGAAATATATCAAGAGAAAAAAAAATGTTTCTTATTTAATCTATTACACTAGCAAAAGTCTTAATTTCAGTAACTAAATGAAAAACTGACATGTATCTTGGCCAGTAAAGCTGTATTCTAGCTTCATTGTGGAGGAGGCGGTGGCGGCATATTAGATTTTGCAAATCCCACCCATGCAACAATACCAACTGCAAGTATTACCCATCCAAAAATGTCATACTTGAGATCACTGCTCTTCTTCTTTTTGGAACTCTGCAATGCAAGAACAGACACATAATGGTGAATAAGCAACAACAGTTTGATAAAATGGAACTAAATTTGATAAACCAGCAGATTTTCGTAACTTCAACACCTATCTTTGAGGACTTTTAATGTTTCAAATTAATTACCATGGAGGGTAAAGTAAAACTTTTAAAGGCGTACAAAATGAAAGAGAAAAATAGGGCTCTGAAAGGAAAGACATCATGACTTTGAAGAATAATTTAAAAAAAAAGAAAAACAAGACGCATTAATCGTACATTAATGCAACTAAGAAGGATAAGAGATTGCTCCTATCAAGAGATGGGGGTGTACCTTTGTGCTTGTCGATGTTGAAGGCTCTGGTCCCATAGCTTGTGGCATGGAACCCTGTTTGTGGATTTCCATGTGCAACTCTGGAGCCTAATCATAATGTAGATGAATTATAATTGAGATTCCCAACCAGAACACGAGACATTTCATGAGTAGAAATACCACAAATTTGGCAAAAAGGATAAACAAAAACAATCAAAAATTACCACAAGCTGCAACACCTAGTCGGGACATTTATAATAAGCTTGTTCGCGTTGAATAAACAGAATCACACACCAACATTATTTACCAAAGACAAAATGCAACTCAATCCAGAGTTACACTTCTCTAAATTCTTAGCCTGATAGAAGAATCCAACTGCATTGGGTTTTTTTCCCCTAACAGGAAACAGGGTCAGACTAAAAAATATTGAAACCAACTGGTCATTAGATAGACAAAGCTTCATCTATTCAGAACTCTCCAAAAACCACCATTCTCTACAAGGTTTAGGAAGATACATGCAAAAGAAGAAAAGTGAATCATCTTTTATAAGCAAGTACCGGTCCATGCCAGCAAACATTTGCTCAACGAAAACCAAGCAATCAGAAAGAAAGAAAAATAGTCATCTTAGTACCTCATTAGTATGTGCAATAATTTTGACAATAAAAGCTAATATTGAACTTCATTACATTAAAGTCCATTCGCATTGCAGTAAATCGACATTTATATGCCCACATAATCTTATATGCAGAGCAAACATCTCCATCAAAGGATTGCTTTGCTATATTTGGGAAATATACCAGCGGGGGAGAAATAAGGAAGACAGGATTCAATAGAGACCACAAACAAAAGCCAAAAGATCAAAAGGATGGTTTTTGAATGGAAGATCAAAAGGATGTTAATGTGCATCTATATAATAGTAGCGCTTTCAGTGTCATCACACCATTCTAATCAGGTCCATAATGCTTCCCGTATAGCTTACAAATTAAGATGCCTGGAGAGGGAAAAAGTTTTTTCCTCTGAAAGCTTAATAAATCTTTAATACAGTAAATGCTGAATGTTATCTGTATAAAGAAATTAAGATGCCTAAAGCAGGGAAAAGCTTTTCCTTTGCAACCTTAGTAAATCTTTAATATAGTAAATTTGAATGTTTTCCGGACCCGTGGGATCCACTTCATCACCAACGAAACCAGAGAAATACCCAGCCAGCCTAGTAAACTCCGACGAAACCTTCTAAGGAGTCTCACACCTCATAATTATGTGAATAACAACAGAATAAAATAAATACAGATGTAGCGGAAAAATTTGCAGATTTCATAGTCTCCTTTTTTTCTGTTGGATAGGTAAATTCTGAAGTATACTGTCACTTGCTATATGGTGTTTAGTGCATCTTCGCTTCAGTTCTATTTCACCTCTCATTTTTCTAAATTCCTTCTTCATTTTAGGGTCTTACGTATTATTTTTCCTTAGCTGTTGCTACTTTTGTGAATTCCTAGCAATGTAAAGGAAGTGGGAACTGAATTGGAAGTCAAAAAGACCTCCAGAAACACAATTTCTTTATAAGGGACCTCCAGGAACAGAATTAGTACAATGAGTAGTTCACTTACTAACGCCATGGATATAATATGTATAGCTGTATGAGCACATGCAATGAGGGATAACGTATATCTTGATGGAAGTTACCTATTCTTCTTTTATAAGATAATTGCACTTATTGCATTTGGCTCAACACCAAAATTGAATGGCTGTCTTACAATAACTGCCTTTTAAGTTGCTCAAGCATTCATTTGAAATATCTAAACGAAATATAAGGATGCTGAGGATAGAACATATCGAAAGTTAGCTAAAAAAAAAAAAGAGCTTCACCTTAGAGGTAACTTCCAAAGACTTGCGGTAAATGTCATTTCCTGGATCCTGCATTCAGAGGACCAAAAAGCTAAGGTAATTGCAACAGTAAGCACAAACACTTGGAATTTCTGCTGAGAAATATATACCGCATCAACTGCCTGCTGAAAGCACTGAGTTGCTTTGTCAAAGTAAACCTTAGCCTCGTCCATATCAGGAGTTAAAAATGCATGAGATGTATGTGCATTCCCCAAACACCAAAGAGTTTCATGTTTTTCAGGATTAACCTCCAATGCCTCCTCCAACTTTGAGGTTGCCTCTACAAAGTTAATTCCAACCATAAATTAAACAACAAAGGCCGGACAAAAAAAGAGAACTTTAAAACCCAAAGTACCAAAACAGTTCTGTCTTTAAGCATGGGAATAGAGATTGATATGGATAAACAGCAGGGAAAAGCAACATTTTTTTCGAAGAGAAACATTGTCTTGAATAAAAAAAAAAAAAAAATTCGTCTGCAAATATATTTTATCAACAGCAGGAGATTGTCCTCAAAAATCCAATTTTTAGCAGACTGTTTAATCAAAACCCAAGATTCAAGTAGGTAGTACAATACCAGAAATCATCTGTTTAGATTCAGGAACGGGCTGGAACTGTGATAATTCCAATAATGCACCTCCCCATCTCGTCAAGTTCTGCATTTGTTATTATATCAGAAACAATAGATTCAGTTTATTGAGGCAATATAGCATATAACTTACAAATATAAAAACACATCAAGCTGGTGGAACACAAATAAACATAACTCTATATATATTCCTTATTACTATAGTAGCAAATTATAAGCTTGAAATGAGAAGATAAAAAGGAGAAATACGCACATCAGCATCGAGGGGATTCTGAGCGTAGGTAGTTTCAGCAGTCTTACGAGCGTGCTCGAAGAAGAGGAGGCGATCGAACTCGCTTTGCATATCCATGTCCACTGTTACTTAGGACCTTACTATTTTTATTAGGGTTCTACCAAAATCCTCTTTCCCACTTCCTAACGGCGGCCCGCCCTTGGTTTTGTCGACGGAGGGGACTGGACTTAAAAATCTAAGACAGTATGCAACGTCAACTTGTACTACAACACAGCTTGTGACACGTCAGGGGTATGAAAAAATATAGGGGGCTGGAGTGATGGGCTTTAATATAGCGGAATGAAAGGGGGGTTTATTGGAATTTTTACATTCCTGTGTCATATAAGAAACTATATTACGCTCAATATTTAAGGTTTGATATAATTATATTTAGTATACCTAATTATTAATTTTATACCATAAGGTTTTTTAGTTGTACATTAGTTGTACCTTATATCACTCTTATACTGTATATTCCTCCAAATCCCCCCAACCCCACACTCTCACCCACATATCACCACACACCCAAAAACCAGAAAAACCAGAAAAACAATTGGAACCCTCTGCTAAATCCAGAAAAACAATTGATACCCTCTATCATTAACGTCCAAAATCAAGGTTTTTTCTTCTACAACCAATCAAAATTGAAGTCAAATCTTCAAAGTTTCATACACAGCAATAACTTTTGATGGTTATGATTTCGGGTTCTTTCAGTAATATAAGAGAAAAGGAAAAGAAAGCAGCAATTCCACCATTGACAGCCATTAAAAAGCTTTGAAGCTTTGAATTCAAATTTGGGTTTTCAAAAATCATTATTTGTTTGGATTGGGTGTTGTTGGAAATAATTGGGAATATGGTTTGGAGTTTATATCTCAATGTTGAGGGGTTTTGATGAAGATTAGACTTGGTTTTAGCTGAATTTCAGATTGAAATTAGAAGAAGAAGACGTATATTGCAGAAATTGTAGATAAATTGAAGAAAAATTGTAGACTATTGTTTAATTATTTTTCTTGAAGAAAAATTGCAGAAATATTTGTTTGGATTCCATATTTAGCATAGCAGTTTCGTAAGGAGTAACAAGAGCATATAGGAGAATCACAGAATTGTAGCATAATCGGGATATTCGACATAATTACGTTTTTTGCAGAAGATTTGTAGAAGTTTTAGTCGTTTTTGATTTATGAAAACAGAAAATAAAGCATCTACAATCAGAATACAAATAATCTACAATTTATCGAAAAAATATCTACAAGCTAGGTACATTGAATTTTAATATCCCAATTCTCATTCAATTGTAGCATAATTGGGATTTTCGACATAATTGCGTTTTTTGCAGAAGATTTGTAGAAGTTTTAGTCATTTTTGATTTGTGAAAACAGAAAACAAAGTATCTACAATCAGAATATAAATAATCTACAAAATATCTACAAACTGGGTACATTGAATTTTAATATCTCAATTCTCATTCAATTGTAGCATAATTGAGATTTTTGACATAATTGCGTTTTTTCAAAAGATTTGTAGAAGTTTTAGTCATTTTTTTTATTTGTGAAAACAGAAAATAAAGCATCTACAATCAGAATACAAATAATCTACAATTTATCCATAAAATATCTACAAACTGGGTACGTAACTCGAAATGCTTCCCCTGAAATGTATGTTTCACATTTTTTATACATATTTTTGTCCAAAATAGTACTAAATCATCCACTTAAATATAATTTTTATACAATGTTGTTCAACTTTCATACAATAGGTAAATGAATAAAAGAAAAATAAATAAAGAACTGTTTGCAATTTATCTACAATTTGTCTACAATTTCTGCAATATACGTCTTCTTCTTCTTCTTCGAGTTTCAATCTGAAATTCAGTCAAAACCAAGTCGAGTCTTCACCAAAATCCCTCAAAATTGAGATATAAACTCCAAACCATATTCCCAATTATTTTCAACAACACCCAATCCAAACAAATAATGATTTTTAAAAATTCAAATTTGAGTTCAAAGCTTCAAAGCTTTTTAATGGTTGTCAATGGTGAAATTGCTGCTCTCTTTTCCTTTGCTTTGTATTTTCGCCATAATTGCTTTTGTTGCAGAAGAATTGTAGAAGATTTTGTCGATTTTGATTTGTAAAATTAGAGAGAATGTTGAAACAGAGTTTAGCGCAAAAAATAGAGTACGGAAATTTTGTAAAGAAGTTGACGATAGTGATTATTGTGCATGATCTGCTGATAGTAGGCTATATAGTTGATATTTACACCTTAATATGACCATACTTTGTTGTTGTTTTATAGATAAATTGCCAACAAAATGCTCTAAATAGTGTTCTTTTATTTAGCAAGGGATATTATATGAGAGGAAGCAACATGGAGTGTTTTGGAGGCGATAATGTGAAGAAAAACGCCCACTCGAGAAGTATCCGAACACCAAGAAACATAAATGGTCTAGGCAAGAAGGCCACCGCGACCGCGGTGAACTGTTCACTCCGTTGGAAGTTGTGGACCAAAGTATAATTTCGGGGAAACTTTTGTAAAACCCTTATAAGCTTTAGAAACTCATCCAACTGAAAGGGGAAGCTAATTTTAGACTACTTTTGGAGGAAGAACAAGTATGAGAAGATCAACCAAACATTAGAGTTTTTCTATCTCCCTTTAATTCTTGCAATTTTATATTATGAATAATTTAGTAGTTCTCTCTTATTTTGTTATGAGTAGCTAAACACTTATCTAGGGTTGATGGAACCAATTGTTGGTTGAAGTCTTGACTCAAGTTGTTATAATCCAGTCGGATTTACGATATAATTGTTCAACTATGTTTTGTATGGTGATTAATTGAATGGGCCATTGATTAATCGTGTCTAATTACCTTATATTGCTTGAGAAAGAATATTAGGTTAGATAGCTGTTGAACAACACCACTTTTGGGTAATTGAAGAGATTCATTACTTGAACTTAAAAGTGGGTTTAGAGATAACAAAACTTTGGTGGGATAATTTAGAGTTGCATAACCATAGTTAGCTAGAGTAGTTCGAGAGAATGCTCTAGTAAATTATTGTAGTTGATCGAGAGATAATTACGATAGCCCATAACTCTTAATCCTTATAGAGTATTACGACGAGATTATAGCGGAAGAGTCAAGACCTAAACTAGCAATTGGGGAAATCACTGCCCTAGACCTTTTTACCATTGAATTATCTTTGTTTTAGTTTATTGTTATTTTTAATAGTAGTGAAGTAGTTAAACAAAAGAACCCAGTCTTTATTGATCAAAAATCTTGCATCTAGAAATTGATTGAGTTGATAATAACATTGCCGAAAAGTGTAATAGATAAGTTAGTTCCTTGAGGATTCGATTCCGAACTTAAAACCGATTATATTTGCAGTGACCGCTTTGTCTTTTAAAAGGCAAAGTTGGGTGTTATCATCTGCGTTGGAAGATCTGAAAAATATTTAAGTCCCCTTTTTTAGTGCGCCTAAATAAGGAATCCTACAACTATAATGATTCCTTATTTAATGCATTATATATATTATGTAGAAATACTATTAGCATGAAGGGTAATATGCAAACTATGAACATATTTGGTAATATAGTTTCCTATATGGTATAGGAGCGAAAATTTCCCTTACATATTTACCCAGTTTTAGATCATTAATATTGAAGCTATATCCACATGGCACAAGATTCGTGAGTTGAAAAAAATCGGTTTCAACTTGCAAACTTAAGATGCACTTAAGACTTAATTGGTCTGAAATGCAGCTAATTTTTGCATGCACTTAAGACCTTTTAGAGAATATTTAGATTGGTTTTTAAGTTGATCAAACTAACTTTTAAGCTCTTTTTAGTGTTTGGTAAGTTGAAAAAATACTTAAAATAAATTTAAAAGTACTTAAAAGAAGCCAAAAACTAACGGCTAGGCACCCCAACTTATTATTTTTTGGCTTATAAGCTATATATGTTTGACCAATTCTATCCCTTATAAATTTGTATAATTCCAACAATAACCTTCAAAACAAAGCCCTAATTCATATGTTTCTTTTCGCTTCTTTCTTTCTTCCACTTTTCCGTTACCTGTGTCTCCATATCTGTGTTCAACTATCTTTGGTGTTCCCTCATCTCTGAGCTTTGTTTTTCTTCTTAAGGATCTATTTCAAGTTCTCTTTTAGAACTTCATGAAGTGACGTAGGAAGTTAATTTACATTTCATGTAGTGCATCACATTTTATAAGAAACAAAACAAATTGTTTAATTGTGAGCTTATTCAGTTGTTATATATTATATATTGAGTAGGAGACGCCCGGTGTAGTGCGTAATGTATTGAATTTCCATACATATAAATATCATCGGGATAACAACATTTTTTAGCCACTAATTACTGCAATAATCGAACGTGATCAAGCAATGATACTTTCCAGAAATTTTATTATTTTACATTTAAAATTCAAAAGTGACTTATATTTATAAAAATTATCTTAGGTAATCAGTTTACTTGAAAGTGGACTGAAATATAAATTATTTTCTATTTGAATCAATTTAGAGTTAAAAGTCTTGTAGTAATCAACTCCTTTGTAGTATTAACAGTTTTAAGGTTATTTCAGTCATTTTAACATAAAAGTGCTATTGTTAACCAAAAACAACCATAGTTTTTTTTTCCAGTTTCAGCACTTCTATCCAAACACATAGCTGCTTATTTATAAAATCAGCTTCAGTACTTTAAAAGTGCTTTTAAATACTTATGCTTAAAAGCCACTTTTTTCAGCTAATCCAAACGGGCTATTTGTCTGAAGTGCAAATTTGCCCAGAAATATAAACTTGTTCGTCGAATTTCAACAGTCCAACATACGATTTAATCCCCAAATCTACTCCACATATGCTCAAATTTAAAATATAACTTTCAAATATACTAAGGAACAAACTCCAATCATCAATTTGTCAAAATAACAACAAATCTGACAAACCTATTTTGCAATTAAGAGGAATAACAACAACAACAACAACAACAACAACAACAACAACAACAACAACAACAACAACAACA